CCCACCCCACCCCAGTAGTTGTTTTTGGATTCCCCTCATGGGGTTTCACCCTACACAAGTGCATGTTACTATTTAGCCATGGGGGAACTCCTCTGTAGATTTCTGGAGCTCTTCCTTTATATAGCTCCCTCCTCTCTGGTATTTTGCTCTATAAATTTCAGCCACTTCAACTCAGAATCCAGAATTCTGATCTCTGTCTTCTCAACTCTCCAAAATTGCTGTGCTCTGTTTGGGATGCTCTCCCTGCACTACAGTCTTGAAATGTGACTATAGGCTGAAAGCCAGGATGGTCATTGGGCTCCACTCTTTTGTTTTTCTTCTCATACCGACCACAGCCCTGCACTGACTGCCATCCAATGTCTGAAAGCAGTTGTTTCATATATTTGGTCTAGTTTTCTATTGCTTTTATTGGTAGGGGACAAGTTCAGAGCTAGGTACACCAAAGTGGCTAGAAATGAAAGTTCTCCCAGGTGACTCGGGTGCATAATAAAAGTTGGAGAATGTATTGGTTTGCTGGCACTGCTGTAGTCAAGTATCACAAACTGGAAGGCTTAAACAACAGAAATTTATTGTCTCCCAGTTCTGGAGGCTGGAGGTCCAAGATCAATGTGTCGGCAGGGTCTGTTCCTTCTGAGGTCTGTGGGGAAGAATCTGTTCCAGGCCCCTCTCCTTGGTTTGTTGTTAGTTGTCTTCTCTCTGTGTCTCTTCACAATGTCTTCCTTCTGTGCATATCTCTGTCCAAAGTTTTCCTTTTTATAAGGCCACCAGTCATATTGGATTGGGGCCCACTCTAATCTCATTTTAACTTGGTAAAGACCTTATCTCAAAATACAGTCAAACTCTGAGGTACTGGGGGTTAGGATTTCAGTGTATGAATTTAGGGGGAACACAATTCAACCTGTAACAGGGGAGTTCAGATTCAAGTCTTAGTCCCTCTTCCGTTAGATACTAAAGTGATAGCAGTTTTCCAAGTGTGCACAGCACCCACCTCAGTCTTGCGGATACTTGCAACTTTGTTTAACCTGGTGGGTCACTCTTGACCAAGGAAAAATCTAGGCAGTATTTGTAAACTGTGAAATCTGCAAGTTGGATTGGTTTAAGAGAGAAAATCACATATCTTTTACTCTCAGAAGGATGAAATTCAATTATTCCTTTAGCAATCCCATAAAAACAAACAAGCCTGTGATCTAGACACACTTTCCTTGGGAGAGTTTATATTTTAGAAATGAGCACAAATACTTTGCCACAAGGTTACAGGATATTGCAGGTATTTGTTGTTGGAGATGATACTGGCGGCGTGGTAATGACTCACCTTGGTGGCTGTGGCAGGGAAAGGTTGATGGGAAACTGATCTTTTGATGTTCAGAGCTGGAAAAGCCCTCAGAGTCCATCAGTGCACAGTGGGGATATGTGGGCTCCAGAAGGGAAGAAGCAGTTTTACTGGGGCAAGCCTTGCCTTGTGCCCTGGGGCCCAACAATCTCATTATTATTTTATAAGTTACTTTCAAATTGATAATGTTTTGCTATCCATTTCTCATTGGTTCACTGCAATTATACCATAAGGGAGGCAGGACAAAGTTTATCTTCATTTACAGATGGCAGAACTGAAGTTCACAGCCAGGTCACCCAGAAAATCCAAAGTAGAATCAGAATTCAAATGTGGGTCCTTCGACTTTCAATTCAGCCCCCCCCCCCCTTTTGTACTCTT